TGTTTGTGTTGGCTTGATATGCCTTATTTTCTGGAGCCCTGCGCTTATCTTTCTGCTTAAAATTTATTCAAATTGGTTGGTGAGGACAAATTGTTTGGTTGATCATGCCTAATTACGCATCAACCATTGATAAAAATATCAAATAACATTTTATGGTTCTAGAAGTACCAGCTGCTTTAGGATGTTTGAGGTGATTCCCATATGATGCAGACTGTGTTAGCATTAGATTTTGTAAGTAGTTTATAAATTGTAATTATTTTAAATGTACAACTACTATACTATTAGAAGTCTACATTATTGAAGATTTTTATTATAATTTTAGTAACATAGAATTTTATTCTTATTAGTATTTTTCTTATTTGTACTAAGATTAGTATTCTTAACTTTTTTAGTACTAGTATTCCTATTTTCTTAGATGTAAAATTCCTAATTTAGTTTTGGTATTTCCTAATCTAGTTAGGTAAGACTTACTTAGCACTTTATAAATATGGTTTCTTAGATATCACATTTAAGAAGTTTTAAATATCATGTTTAAGAGTTTAATTGTTATATTCTCTAGTTAAGGATTGAGTCACCGAACGATTAACAACAAAGTCGTCTTCTAGTAAAGGGTTCATACCCTTGTTCCTATTACGAGAATGATCTATTTTGTGGAAATATATTATAACTCATCAAAGGGAGCTGTTACTTTGGATTTTGTTCGAGAGAGCTCTAATCTCGTTAGAGAGAGCTCTAATCTTGTTAGAGAGAGCTCTAATATTGTAGTTTAAGATAATATTCTAATTTATTTTTATAAATATCCAACATACCCCTTTAAATAAAGGTTATAATTGTTATTTAAGATTCTTAATTTAATTAAGAGTGTAACTCTAATTAGAAATACTTTATTAAAATATTCGAAATCGTAAACTATTTAAGAATGCAATACTAATTGGAAATTATATATTAATTAGGAACCTAATACTAATTATAATTCCAACTATTTAGAAATCTAATACTAATTATGATTCTAACTATTTATGAATCTAATACTAATTAGCATTTCATATTTAATTGAACTTCAATCTCCTATTATTGCTGTGCCTTCCACATTTACACCCTACAAATGCATCCATAACATTATCTCCCCCCTTTCCCCCTTCCCCCCCTTCCCAGTGGTCTTCAAGCTTGTCCTCAAGCTTGAAATATAGATATGGTTGGCTCGTCGATCTTTTTTTGTTGCTCAGAACTAGTGTCGTATTCAATCTTGAGCCAAAATAGCCGTTTACATTGGTGATCAGGAACAAATAGTTCATTGCATTTATCATACAACCTCTTCAATCTCCTTTCTGTCATCTAAGCTCTTGTTAGTTTTTTTTATAAATAGAGATGAAGTGTTACCAAATTGTGTTGTAACGTTGTTTCCCTATCGAGTCGGTATTTTCTGAATTGAATTATTAGGCTTGGTCATGAACTGAGAATGATCACTATAATTGTGTTTGGTCATAACACAACTGTTATTTCATTTCAAAAGCTTTGGCTATACTCATTGCATGCACAAGATTAGTGGGTGATTGCCTCTTGATCTCTAAACGGAGAGAATCGATCAGTCCCATTGTGCACGTATTGACTTGTTGATCACAATGTACCGTTGAGGCTCGGGCCAACAGTCTTTGAAATTATTGTTGATGTTCGTCAACCGAGTCCATTTGCTTAAGGCTGACCAATTTGCTCAATGAGTTGTTTTGTAGGGGCGTTCCAAGCTGTAGGGTGCAATACTCCATGAACATTTCCGATGCAATGTCCGGCTCTTCCTGTTGTAACTTATAATACCAAAGTTGGACTTCTCGTAACATGTGAAAAGCTGCTAGATTAACCTTGTTGGAGGTGGTGGTTTGTTGATTAGTGAATAATTGCTTGCATCAATGGAATCATACCAAAGAATCTTCTATGCCATCGTAGGTGGGGGAAGTCCAGTTTGGTGTAGTGTGAGATATTCCTCTGTTTCCTAGCTTTGTGTTTGTAATACGCAATTCTGGCCGGTTCACCTTTTAAATTCGTGTGACGCAATTGGGTGACTATCTAAAGAAAAGTCCATTTGCTAAGACAGTTCCCGCAACTTAGCATCCATCTGGGCCTCTAATTCAGCTACCACAATCCTTGTTCGCCCATGGTGTTTGACTCTAATACTAAATTGTTATGTTCTATAGTTAAGAATCGAGTCACCGAACGATTAACATTAAAGTCGCATTCTAGCAAATAGTTAACATTCTTGTTCTTATTACGAGAACGACTTATTTTGCGGAAATAGATTATATCTTATCAAAGAGAGTTACTAACTTGGATCTTGTTAGAGAGAGCTCTAATTTTGTAGTTTAAGATAATATTCTGACATATTTTTATAAATAACAAGCATACCCCTTTAAATAGATGTTACAATTTTTATTCAGAAATGTTAATTTAATTAGGAGTGTAAGTTTTATTAGGAATGCTCTATTAAAATATTAGAAATGGTATATTATTTAGAAATCCAATACTAATGGGAAAGCATATATTATTTAGAAATCTAATGTTAATTAGGATTACAACTATTTAGAAATATAATATTAATTAGGATTCTGTGTTCAATTGAATTTTAATCTCCTATTCTTGATGCCATTCCATATTTACGCCTTACAAATGCATACATAACATTAATTTTATTTTACAACAAAAAAACTGAGAAACTCTCAAAATGTTATATAATAACTAAATGTTTGCCCTCTTAAGAGGTTATAATCTCAAATTCCTAATTGGACAAATCAACCATATTTGTTCTATATTAATTTGATATCAGAGCTAAAGAATCTTATAGCAGCCCCAAACCTATCTGAAAAAGAAATTCACAAAAAATCCTAAAACAACTATTAGCACTGTACCAGTCACCTGCCAATACTAGCCAGAAGGTCCTGATAGGCCAAGCCTACCGTGAAACTCCACTACAAACCACTACACTTACCGGCACAAGCTCCCACAGCAATTACCTCTCACAAATCTAGACTTCTGCTTCATTGCATGCTACACCGACCCCTGATATGAGACTAGTACCTCCGGTTGAGTCGACTGCCAAACGGCTACTGGCATCTGGTGATTGGAAGCGGGTGTGTGAAGCCTATGCGTGGGGCTAGTTAGGAGTAGACCTTGTGCAATATGTTTTGTTTTGGTTTCTTCAGTGAGTTCCTTTCAACTAGACTTCTCTAAGAAATTAAGCTTATAATGCTGAATTAAATACTAAATTTGAGATACACGAGGCAACCACTAATACATATTAGAAGCAATTTAAAACACTATTGAAACTATCTTGGAAGAACTAAGACACTTACGAACAGCATGAGTACATCCACTAATTCAAAATGTACAAGTTGAACAAGCTGCTGATCAAAGACACATTGAAGATAATGCTGAAAATATTACAAAGCGGATAAAGGTCGAAGCTCCTGATTTTGATTGAAGAAGAGAACCCGATTCCTCTCTTTTTTTTGAGATAAAAATATAAATTGTATATTCACAAGGTACCAAGAGAATACAGTCCATTTACAAAAAAATTACAATTAGAACCCGATACCTTTCTTGATTAACTTAATTCAATGGAAGAGTGCTTCAATTCATATGATATGTTAGATGCACGAAAAGTTCAATTTGCCAGAATGAAGTTGATTGGACTTGCCAAATATAGTGGTACACTATTTATGAAAATATATCAAGGAGACAATCTACAACTGAAACATGGGATGAGATGAAAGCTATTTTTTAGGAAAAGTTTCTACGCCTCAGCTATTTTGACAAATTTTTTTTTTACCAAACTTACACGCTAGTCCAGGTATTAATGTTCGTAACTGAGTATACAGAAATTTGAAGAATTAAAAGTTTAAAGTAAATTAGTCGAAGATGATAGTCAAGCAGCATCTCGATTCAAGACATGATTAATAGTTTATATTGAAAGAGAGTTAATTCGAAAACCTCCTGCAACCATAGCACAAACTCGCTAAGCAGCATTTGACGTGGAAGGGTATTTGAAATATCTAATATCTAGAAGTGTTAAAATTAATGATTTTTTCTGTTAAGTTTAAATTCAAAAAATGGAAATCCACCGTGAAGTTGAATCACAGTAGAATACGTAAATTTCATGCGATGTGTATGCATGATTTTCTGAGGATCTGATTTGATCGTTTGGTTGATGTAATCAGTTTAAATTTGTATTGCTTATATATATGAGGAAATAAAAGAAAAATAACACTTCTTCTCTCCAGCAAAAG